TGCCGGTTCCTCCATATAATTGGTGACCCCGTATTTCTATTTATTTTTTGTGTATATTTTTCCTTTTTTCTACACAATGTCTGATCACGCGCCCGCTATTAATGCGTCGGAACATTCCCTTTGACTCGTTTTATCTTCTTTTGACGTTTATAACCCACATGTTTGATTCGTTCAGGTAGAAGCTGTTTTCCGTTTTCGTAAGATCACATCCGAGTCCACAATGTTTTCATATGTGACTGCTCGCCTGCCGTCCAACATCGCCTCAGAGGTCATCGACATCCTTGATCCCATGCCCCTAGAGTCCCCTATGATAAACTTAAGGCAGCCATATTAAAGCGCACTACAGCCTCAGATGAGACACGCCTTCAGCAGTTGCTCTCTGGCGTTGAGCTTGGAGATAGAACGCCGTCTCAGTTACTCCGACACATGCGTTCCCTCGTCGGTTCTTCCATACTGGATGATTCCGTTCTCCGCCAATTGTGGAGTAATTGGCTTCCTACGAATACCACGGTTATTTTAGCTGTGCTCGCCGACGATCTTCCGCTAGACGAACTGGCAGAAGCTTCTGATAAAGTTCACGAACGCTTTATTAAAACGTCGGTATCCCACGTCGTTGAGACTAGCTCAAGCAACCTCTCCGGAACCACGCTACTTGATACAATCAATGAGAGACTTTCTAACCTAGAGCTCACCTTGTCCCATCTCAAACGCGACCGCGTTCCTTCGCGACAATCCGCTTCTCGATCCAGACGTTCTAGCAGCTCTCATACACGACAGTCTCACCGCTATTGTTATTATCACCACCGCTTCGGAGACGCAGCGCGTAAGTGCCGTCCAGGGTGTAAACACCCTAAAGCCTTTTCAACTCCTACGTCGGGAAACCACATGGCCAGCCAGTAATGGCGGCGGCTGTCGCTGGCCAGGTTATTAGTCGCCTGTTGTACGTATTTGGCTCCACAACCAAGCTTCACTTCTTGGGTGACACTGGTGCAGAAGTCAGCGTTCTCCCCCGCTCTTTGGAAAAACGCTCCCCGCAACCAGCTGGTCCAATGCTTACGGCAGCTAATCAGACTAAAATCGCTACCTACGGCCAGAAATTACTTACCTTGAGTCTCGGACTACGGCCTAACTTCCCTTTCATTTTCACCATCGCTGATGTGCAAAAGCCCATCATCGGAATCGACTTTCTCAGCAAGTTCGGTCTTGTGGTCGACCTACGTTGTGGGAAATTACGAGACGACACTACGTCTCTAAGCATCCCCTGCAAACTTGCTTCAGTCAATTCTCTCGGGCTTCGCATCCTCATACCTGATGACTCACAGTACTGCTCATTGCTCCGACAATTCCCATCCCTCATTCGAGCGAGTAACGATACTTCCCACCCTAAACACGATGTACGCCATCACATCGTTACAACCGGTCCGCCAGTAACTGCTAAAGCTCGACGCTTGCGCCCTGACAAACTTCAGGCAGCTAAAAAGGAATTCCAACACATGCTTGATCTCGGCATTGTTCGTCCTTCAAACAGCTGCTTGGCATCACCTCTCCATCTGGTGTCTAAAAAGTCAGGCGATTGGCGACCATGCGGTGACTACCGTGCTCTCAACATCACTGTTCCGGATAGGTATCCTATCCACCATATCCACGATTTCTCACTTGGCTAGCCGAACAACCTCCCCGTGGTGTCAGCTGGGTGGTTCGGGTAAATCCCGTTCCAGCAAATGGTTCGGCGGCAGTGTTCCAGGATGTGGTGGGATTTCGCCTGGCAAGCGTTCTCCTTATAAAAAAACCACAGATATCCGTTTAACAACACTGTGACGTGGCGGATGTGACTCGCCACTAAATAAAGTCACTGTCTCTTCCCTTTTCCGGAGGATCATTCACACATCACGAACGTCATCCGTTATGAAGCGGTCCATTGATTTTCTTCTTCGATGGCGAACCCAACAAACAAACACAGAGTCACATTTACCTAATCACACAACATGGTTACTTCCAAATACAGACATAAACATACTTATACATGTCAACAAACACATACATTCCTATGCTATTTGTCAAAATGTACTAATTTGTGTAATTGCCGAGCGTACATGTCTGAATTACCATGATCACGCCCTTGATGGTGTGCCTCGCAATGATGAGAATAAACTATTTATTTATTTATTTATTTAGTCAGAGCTTACCACCAGATTCCAATGGCGGAGGAAGACATCGCAAAAACCGCTGTGATCACTCCATTTGGCCTTTACGAATTTCTTCGTATGCCTTTCGGCCTCCGGAACGCAGCACAGTCTTTCCAACGCTTTATGGATCAGGTCCTCCGTGGCCTTGATTTCGTCTACGTTTACATTGACGATGTTTTGATCGCAAGCGCCACACCCGACGAGCATTTATCACACCTCCGAATGGTTTTCGAACGCTTTGAAAGCCACGGTATAACCATCAACCCGGACAAATGCAAATTTAGTCAGCCAACGGTCGCATTTCTCGGTCACAAGATCGATGGTGAAGGTATTAAACCCCTCCCGGATAAATCTCAAGCGATCCTCGACTATCCGATGCCCCAATCTGTCCGAAACATACGCCGATTTCTCGCTATGATCAACTACTACGCCAGATTCATACCCAACTGTGCTGAATTACTTCATCCGCTTACCGACTTATTGAAAGGAAACTCAAAGACGTTAACCATAACCCCAGAAGTTGAAGCAGCTTTCACGGCCGTCAAGCAGAAGTTTAGTGACGTTACCTCTCTCCATCACTTGAACAGCACTGAGGACGCTACACTTGTCCTTAAGACGGATGCTTCAAGTTCCGCTGTCGGTGCAGTTCTGCAACAGTTAGTTGGTAACGAATTTTAACCGCTGTCGTTTTTCTCACGGAAGCTTTAACCTGCTCAGGTCAGGTACAGCACCTTTGGTCGTGAACTGCTCGCCATGTACTTGACTGTGAAACATTTCCGTCACCTTTTAGAAGGACGTCGTTTCATACTCTTGACAGCTCACAAGCCACTGGTGTACGCTTTCCGTTCCGCCTCGGATCGTGACTCACCCCGAGAAACGCGTCATCTGGACTATCTTTCACAGTTTTGTGTTGATGTTCGTTATATCGACGGTTCTAACAACGCTTTTGCCGATGCATTGTCCCGCGCTCATATGAATCAGCTGTCGTCAACACCCATCGACTGAGAGAGAATAGCGGCCGCTCAAAACGATGACCCTGAGCTTGTCCAACTTCGCTCAAACCCCTCATTGAAGCTCACACAACTGCCCGTTCTTAACTCTGACATAAGAGTTTACTGTGACCTTTCAACCGGTAAGCCTAGACCCTTTGTCCCACGATCATTTCGTCGAACCATTTTTGATCATTTACAGGGTCTTTCACACCCAAGTATCCGCTCCACCGTAAATCTCATTACCGACCGCTTCCTCTGGCACAATATGCGTTCAGATATTAGACAATGGGCTAAACATTGTCTTAGTTGTCAAAGCAGTAAAGTTCATCGCCACACAGTCACTACTCCAGGTACATTTTCACTTCCTGACGCACGTTTTAGACATGTTCACGTAGATATTGTTGGCCCTTTACCTCCTTCCAACGGTCCCACCCATCTTCTAACGTGTGTTGACCGTTTTACCCGTTGGTCACATCTACCGAATCTGTTTCTCGTGCTTTTGTCGAATCTTGGATCTCTCTGTTTGGTGTTCCATCCACCATCACTACCGACAGAGGGACTCAGTTCAGTTCCACACTGTTCCGTGATCTCAGTCGTTTATTAGGCTGTACTCATCGCGTACCACCCCGCTGCCAATGGCCTCGTCGAGCGCTTTCATCGACAATTAAAAGTTGCCATCATGGCTAGTTCATCCGACTCACGCTGGTCTGAGCGTCTACCTGCGATCCTTCTTGGTATTCGCAATACAATCAAAGAGGACATTGGGTGCTGCCAAGCAGATCTCGTGTTCAGGACGACCCTCAGACTACCTGGTACTGGACTCTCGCACCACCGGCGAACTAGAACCCTCCTCGTACGCTGAACGCCTCAAACAGCATTTTCGATCCATTCGACCAACGTCTACGCGGCCTAACATACGTAAACAGCAAATCCACCCCGATTTGCACAAGTGTCCGTTTGTGTTCACCCGCGTCGACGCCGTCCGAAGACCTTTAACTCCGCCCTATGAAGGCCCGTATCAGGTCTTATCACGGAAACCCAAGTACTTCGTGTTGAATAAGAATGGATCAAAAGAATCCGTGAGCATCGACCGACTCAAACCAGCTTACGTTGAACCTACAATCGATAGTATTGATCCCGTTTCCTCCCCTCAGCATACACCCGCCCCTGACTCATTACCCCCTACCCAACAACACACTGACGCCCGTACACCGAGTCTTCTGTGCCCTCCGACTACACGCAGCTCCACACACACACGTTCTGGTCGTGTTGTTTTCCTTCCACCTAAGCTTGCTCAGTACGTTCCGTAGGCACTTTGTCGAGCGTTTCCCTAGTGCACGCTCTAGGGGGGAGTACTGTAGCGATTGCAAATAATTTGCTTATCTTTCATTTTCACATTTAGCTATTTCGATGCAGTTGTTGTACAGCTTTGTTTTAATTAACTATATATATAGATACACTTGGTTTCGAGCTCCTCTTCCGTGGTTCTACCTTGGTTGCCGCTGGATTGTTGTGATTGTGCGCGTCGCTGTCTGCTCCATTCACGATCGGACTCTACGTACACGTACACTTCGTCGTACCTCGCGATTTACGATCGTCCGACGTTTAGGCGCATCAGGATATTTTATATGTGAGGTAAACCTGACTGACTGAGTATTCTCCTTTGCCGGTTCCTCCATAGGATCAAGGCACACTAGAACGACAGAATTACTGCCGAAAAAGGTTCAAAAGATATTACTGGATAATTCAGAATGATGACGACGACGACAGTGATAATTGTAAATACCTTGAGAACATGGGGATATCAAACAGTAAAACTTACCAGTAGTAAGGGAGGTACGACTACAGACTTGTCATAGAATTGACTGAAAAGTTCACCACCGGCTAAAGCGGCTGGATGAGGTTCCGAACAGCCGGGATTTTGCTCCTCATTTTCTGCAACCAGCAACGCCACCTCGACAGGATCGTCTGTACCACACCAAACACGCATGTGACCAGCCTTGTCCAGCATGTGGTTGCGAACGGCTTTTAGGGCGACAACGCTGTTGGACTGCATGTCGTCGGCTTTGTCGAATCGACGACCATAGAATTGACGACCACAGGCTAGGCACGCTCTCTCCTTACCGACAATTCGACCAAGTTCCCGGAGCAAACCAGGAGCATTAACGATATTATCGGGGTATGGAAGTTGGAAACTGTGCGAGTCGAACATGTGCATCAGGATTCTTTGGGCCAGCGACTCGTCTCTTTCTGATTCACACAACGTCATGTCTGGTGGTAAAACGCGGTCACAAAATAGACAGGAACCCAAACGCAGTGCTTGTGGAGGTTCATCAGTCTCTGTTGGCTCTAAAGCGGATGATTTTACCGGGCCATTTGAAGCAGAATCGTTATGAGTGCTTGAAGAGGAAAACACGGAATTTTGATGGATAACATATAAAACAACTAATAAAACGTAAAATTAAGCTTCCTCACAATGACTAAAATGAACACAAAAGGTTGTCGTTCATGCTTCGGATGCCAGTTGGATATAAGATTCTCCATTAAGGTGTTTATGTAATCTCAACAGTCTAGCAACTAGACATAGAGCCGACAGAAACCATGGAGATTATCGGATAAGGGGAAGTCATCATGTCATAATCGTCGTGGCATAGTAGTTGAAGGTGAGCAACAAACTTTAGCTACTATGCCGCAGGGAGAAAGGAAAATTTCAACAAAAAGTAAAACAAAACATGCTTAGTTTGTTATTCACACACCGATTTTGCTCTTTTTGTCATTTTCGATGTTTGAATTATTAAACATTCAGTCAATACAATACGGTACATAATACTTCCACTGATTCCGGTTGCGGGCCATGCCTTCAAACCATTTGGCACTTCACATTTCGAAAGATAGACAAAACACGAAGATTTGAGCAAACAATTGTTTTCGATTACTTCTTCATCAGGCTGATACAGTAATATACATTAGGCTAACGTCTGCTGCAATCGTTAGTGTAACAAAGAAACAATTGATCAAAAAATTTAACCTGTGATCATGATGGCATTCATTTGATCACATGACTGGTGAATTTGTGGAGTACCATTACTTCGTTCACGGCTGGTGGTCAGCCAGGGAAGTTGTAGTGAAGGAAGTAATGGTACTCCGCAAATTCACCTGACTTCAGTCATGTGATCAGGTAAATGCCATCACGATCATAAGTTAAATTTTCTCATCAATTGTTTCTTTGTTACACTAACGATTGCAACAGACGTTAACCCAATGTATATTACTGTATGAGCCTGATGAAGAAGTAATCGGAAATTGTTTGCTCAAAGCTTCGTGTTTTGTTCATCTTTCGAAAGTTGACGTAACAAATGGGCATTCTACTTGAGTTGAAACACTTCACATTTTGGGTCCCCATCCTGGAAAACGTACGGATCTAACAGCGGCTAGATACCACGTCAGCGATTTCATGTGCTGTCGCCATGTGGAAGGCTGACCACCACGCGGTCGCCTCTAGTCAGGTTCTTGACGAGCGAATAAAGCGCGACGCGGTGCCATGAGTAGGACGTGACCGAGCCATCTCAACTGGCGCAGCAAACAGTATGTTGAAGGGAATACTCACATTCCCCAAAATGCGACGTCGAACGTCATTACTATGAACTTGATGTTGCCACCAAACACGAGCAATCCTCTGTAAGCAACGGTTATCGGAGGCAGAAAAATGACGCATGTCTTCCACACCAATCAGCCAGGACTAGCTCCCATACAATAATACTGAGCGAACAGATGCGCTGTAAACGCGGCCTTTCAGCGAGAATGGGACGTCGCCACGCCACAAGTGCTTCAGATGGGCAAATGTTAATCAAATTTTAGCGATGCGAATAGAAACTTCTATGCTGATAGTGCCGTCAGCAGAAACACAGCTCCCAAGGTAGATGAAACTTTCTACCTGTTCAGGTTGTGCACCTTCGACACTCAGCACGGGAGCATTACCATCGCAATGAGGCTGGACCTTACCGTGAAGCGATGGTTTGTGTGCCTCAGCGATCCATTGAGCTATGCTAGCTGGTGCTTTTGCACCTTCAGAGTCACTCATACCAGATTGGTCAATCGTTAGAGGCCAGACAAACTCAGCACGGGAGCAGGTGAAAGCCAATCCTTGAGCAGTACTTTACACTTCGATGGGGCGAAGCTCATGCCATACTTAGATGCTTCAACCACCAAACGATCAAGAATGAGTTGCATACTCTGAGGATCGTCACCAAGTAAGGCGATATCATCAGCATACTCTAAGTCGGCCGGGCGCTCAACCGGTAGAAGCTCCAGGCCAAAATGTTGGAAACCTAGAGCATTCGACAGAACGTCTTCCATTGCGAAGTTGAAGAGGAATGGGGACATAGGGCAGCCCTGTCGCACACCGCTATTGACAGCAAATTGCGAGGAAAGCTTGCCATGAAGGTAAAGTGCTCGTAAGATGGCGGTATATTTCTCTGGCACCCAGTTCTTTAGCAAGCAACACCATAAAGCAGGTCAATCAACTGAGTCAAAAGCGGCACGTCTGTCTAAGAATGCAACGATAGTGGGTCTGTGATAAATGTGGCGATGTTCGAGGAGCTGGCGGAGCGTGAAGATTTGATCCGCGCCGGGACGGAAACCAACTTGTTCTTCACGGTAAGATGATTCACGTATTGCGGCTAGTCTACAGAGCAGAATGGATGCCAACAGCTTGGAGGAAACCGAAATAAGACTAATCCCGCGATGATTTGTACATGAAGCGCGAGCGCCTTTCTTGAAAACCGAGACAATAACTGATTCGCCCCAAGAGGAAGGCACTTTCACTTCACGCCAGATTTTTGCAAACAGCGCGGTTAGCTGGTTAATGATCGCCACGCCACCGTACTTGAACAGCTCCAGAAGAAGTCCGTCTGAGCCGGCAGCCTTTAACCGCTTCAAGCGTCGAATCTCGATGAAGACTTCCGCTTCGCTGGGTGGATTCATAGGGACGAGCCAACACGCTGTACTGCATGTACTGATAGATGGTGGAGGCCAGTCGAACTGCGAGTCCATACGCCTCTGTCGGTTTGTGATCGGAGACTCATCCACCTCGTAAATGACCTCATTGACGCCAGGCTTCCTGAAGCCAGTGGACTGAGTGAGTTGGAAAGGCCTGAGTTTTGCCAGAGGACAGCGGTCTCCATCTCTAAAGCACACTCAGATCACCATGCCTTGCGATCCTTGAGTAGGTTTTGCTTGAGCAGCCGGTTGGCAGAACGGCGCCGCTCGTTGCAATCTGATTCCGCAGGGATATCTTTGCGGCGTTCGAACAGGTCCAAAGAACGAGCAGACATCCAAGACTTCAAGGGGCGTCGAGCTAGCCCGCGGCTTGACTGTCCGGAAATGGTCATCGCTCTCTGTATACAAGTCCAGTGTTGTTCCACTTCTTGCGGTGGATTGCAACTAAGTGCATATGTCAGTGAAGACTGATAGCTTGCCTGGACAGAGGAATCAGTTAATCTGTTTACATCAAACTTGTAGTGTTTCGTGTTTCAAGACCCCCAAAACATGCAGATTTTTGCGCAGACCAGTGCATGATCTGAGTCAAGAATAGTAGACCAAAAGGACCTGCAGTCCAGTACGCTGCCACGCCAGCTGAAGCTAATTGCAATGTGATCAATATGAGATCCCGGTTGTGTTGGCGAAGGGAGACGCCACGTTGCGGGACGCTTCTTCGTACGCCTAAAGTTAGTGCTCGAGAAAAACAGATGGTTGTTTCCGCACAACGTGAGAAGCCTACCGCAGTTATCAGAGCGGTTCTCATCGAGCGCGTGATGACCACCAAGATGGCGTTCGTATGGTAACAGGCGCCCAACGCGTGCATTAAAATCCCCAGCAAGGATAACGACATCCGACATTTTAGCGTTAGTAAAGAGCTGATGTAGATCCCGGTAGGATTCGTGCTTGACCGAGTCGCCACTGCAGTCAGTTGGAGCGTACACGGAAATCACAAATAAGTTGCGTCTCTCTTCGCGGCGCTTGTTGATTCTACATGAACCCCGAAGCCGAACTGCACATAGTCGGCTGTTAATCGGGAACGTGTAGTAGTTCCACTTCGGCCGAGCCACTTAGTGCTATACCTACACCAGCCAGACCCGCTGAGGCTGCTTCTGGATAGCCAGAAAGAAGCAGGTGCTATCTGGCTTCGTGGTCAGTGGGGGATGTCAATGTAAGCACAGTGCTGGGATCTTGCAATCGGGTTTCTGAAAGGCAGAGGACATCAATATCGAGGGACTTCAGGGTGCGCGCTAGACCAGCTTGCTGTCCAATCTGCATGAGTGTCCGAACGTTGAAGCACGCCAGACGGAACGAGGATCGGGGACGAAGAAGAGCAATAGGTTGAACTCCGTGGTTCGCGGCGTAACCGGAATCGCAGCCAGATCGTTGAACACATAAATCGGTTAACGGAAAGTGAGGATTTTTAGCAAACAAACAATTGGCGTGTGAAGAAGTCGCGTTAATGTGAGATGCAGGAACAGTAGCTGATGAGCACGTTGTAGTACAGTCCATGGTTTTGTGAGGGAGTGATACGACCCGGTTGCCCAAGCCGAAGTAGGGAGTTGACTTAGGGGACCCCACCCCGAGCCTTTGGCTAAATAACCTACTCGCAAGGCAACGGGGCAGATTTAGAGAATTGCGCCCATTGGGAGTCGCTGACTGAATGCTCAGTTCACGCTTTCATTTGGTAGATCACCAAACAGGGGCCCAATACTCCCTATGAAATCAGCACAATTGCTGGACTATAATGCCCCACCGAAGTGGAACATTGTCGCCGAACACTTCGCTGGCACGGGGTATGCCCGAACTACCCAGCTGACACCACGAGGAGGTAGTTCGGCAAGTCAGCCCCAGGACTCTGTAAGGAGCAACCTTCTGGTGAAGCCCAATAACAAGCGCATCTCAATGGCATCGTATAGCCCTTCCAAGGGTCAACACAAAAGTCTGGGTAACAACCAGAATTTGATATTTGTGAAGCAAGGCATCGTGTATACTGCAACTAATCGGTGGGCGCTATCAGAGTCGCATTAGTTAGTTCCAACTATTTACGTCTTCTGCGGTCTGTCTGTTCATTGGTTCGCACTTTCTGCTCGTTCTGGTCGACCTCTGCTCCGACTGCTGTGTCCGCCTCGAGTATGCTCGAATGCATGAGCCCTTTGCCTCTGTGACCAGTGCAACAAGCTTAGTCCACATGCGATTGTTTCGGACAATCCACGTTGGTGTTGTTCGCGATACAGCTGGGCTTTGTTCTTTCTACGTTGAGCCGATCCTGATTCCTCTTTCCGCCTTGTCCAAGCGGGATGAATTTGTATCGACAATGACTGCTTATTTTCTGACTTGCCCATCACCCATTGGTCGGCTTTGCTCAAACAGTAAACTATGACCACAAACGGTATGATGTGTCTAGCCTGGATCCACAGCGAATGGGGCATCTTACATTAAGCTAACATACTACAGTACCATAACTGTATGTTCATGGGTCTCACTTTCGGGAAAAGTATAAATTCTAGAGTGAGGAAGGTGAAAAAGATCCAGCACGAGAAGACACTTAAATGAGTTCACTCAGTTAAATAAAGGGTGATCTTATTCGTAGGTGATTCCGTAAAGAGAATCAGTAAAGTAAAAAAAAGACAAGAAATTGGTTGTGGTGATTACTCACGCAAGAGTTGCTTAAATTCGGAACGTAACAGACATGTTCAAATCGTTATCGGAAAGAGGATTCGCTTACTTAGCTGACCTAGTAAAGCGTTATTCTTGAAAGTTGGTTACGCAGACGGCTGCTAGCATCTAATTCTTGGTGACCGGCTCGTATCGCGTTGTTCATTATTCAGCACTGCCCGTGGCCTAAAGACAACCAGCTTGTCTTGTAATCTGACGGCGCAAATTCGAGCCTATGTAGGAACAAGGCGACGCTAGCAGTATTCTTAGCGCACGTGCGACTGGTGGTGGTTGCGCGGCAGGGAAGCGTCAGTAGTACTGCGTACCGGCGTATTGCTTATGCCTTTCTTATTCACTGAGCTAGTGGATTCGAAAACTGTACCGTTCTTCCATCACACACTACGTTTCCCGCGTCATCACTAAGTTTCCTGGGAGTGAACATTTCTCAGGAATTCTAATACTGAATCAATTATTCTCGAACCGTGGCGCAATGACTGTTTCCTATCCACTTATCTCCATGGTTTTGTTGGCTCTATGTCTAGTTACTAGGCTGTTGAGATTACATACATACATACATACGAACCGTGGCACCACAGTCACCGAAAGCTAAGTTGGGGGATCCCCAGCCAAGAATTCAATCGTTTGCTTGGCGATTGACAAGGCGACTTGAGTTTATTTTACTCCCACTCACTGTCGAGCCCCCCGCTGAGGCGGTTGCTGATAATTCGATTCAGCGTCAAGTAGATCATCTTTTAAACTCCAACACCGGTTCAAAGCTTCCGTTTTACAGTGGTTCCATGAGCTGATTGTACACCACTACAATCGATACTTACCGGGGCTTTAACTCCGCGTTGCGTGAATGCTTCCTTGAAGCTAAATGAGCAACGTATGATCGACTGTTGACAAAGGGAGTCTTGCAGACATCGCAGTATGTTTTCTAATGTTTTAATGTTACATGATTTTCAGTACATACTTTTTCCGGTTGAATCAATGGTCCAGTAAAAAATTGTTTCTTTTCTGTAAACATGGTTTCCGGTATGGCAGGGAGACCGGCGACGATGCGCTTCAGGTTATAGATATGCCAATCGCTTTTAATGTGTGCAACGCGATCCTCGGGAGTGAGCGAAATGTCGCATGTCGAACAGAGAACCATCTTGACAAGTGCTGAAAAAGAGAAAGCTTGGTGGATATTGGAATCTTCCTAAAAAGACATTCTACCAATGATAAATTAAGACTAGTGCCAATTTTCGACTCAAAATAACAAGTTCCTGTAGAATTGTATCATAATTATAGAAGTCTGATTTCGGAAAGATGTGCGCTCAGCATCCAATAGATTATTGACAGAATTTGACGAAATTACGGGCTGTGCTGCATCGCGACTGTCCAGGGACAAGGTTACATCATAAGTATAGTCCTAATAGACCCATTCTTCAGCAAGCAACCCATCGATTGCTGCAATATGTGACCCTGCAAGCAAAACTACACTAACTCCAGCAAATGTAAGCGGAATCGGAGGCCGGAAAACGTTAAGAAAAGACTTGTGAATCATCGCGAACTCGAGCATCACACTAGTGTGCAAAGGGTGCAGGGGATATCATATATAGCAGTAGAGCACC